TCGGCCTCCGTGTCCCTCAGGGAGCTCGTCAGCTCCTGCTCCTTCCCAGCGTACTGCGGGATCAGCCGCTCCCTCTGCGCCTGGCTTTGGGCCAGATCCTGGCGATTGCGGTCGTTCAGGGTGATGAGCAGATCCTGGCGATCCCGGCTGAGCTTTGCTCCGCAGGGCAGGAAAGTCTGGCTCTGCTCCTGAGTCCCCTGGGCTGCCTTTGCCAGGGATCTGCTTTCCCGCAGGAGCTGCTCTGTTCTGCCCAGGTACGTGTCCAGGTGTTCCGTGAGGACCCTGCATTCCTCCTGCAGGTACGCTTTCCTGTCCTGGGGGAGATTTTCCACATCACCCATTTCTGTCTCTCCATCCTTGCTCCTCATTCCTTCCTTGGTTTTCCCAGCAGCCGTGGGTTTGGATGCCATATCCCAGTCGATCTCTGGAAAACTGGAACAGAAGGACAACAGAGCAGTTCTGAGGGTGCATTTTCCCCTCAGCCCTTGCGTTTCCAACTGGTTCTTCCGGCAGCTCAAATGTTTGAGTCGGAACTGTCCATGTCTGGGCCAGAAACACAGGTGCCACACCTGGATTTGCGTTTCCCATCTGAGGCTGCCTCAGGAGAAACCCAAAAATGCACATTTTTAAAGATTTCCCTTTTTTGCTCTATAATGTGGGGATATTCCTGCAGTTTGAAGGAGAAAATCCAGTTCCATCCCATTCCTTCTTCACAGATTCTGGTGTTTGAAGAGGCAGCTGCATCCCAAACCGGTATCTCTCAATCCAAAACAGTATCTCCTGTCTCAGTTTCAGGAGATTCTGGGGGGGGGGGGGTATATTTTTAAGCATTAATTTAATAAGATTTGGGTTTTCAAACATTTTTAAAGCATTAACTTCAGGATTTTCTGAATTTCTGAATCAATAATTCCAGTGCAGAAGGCTGGAATTCAGGATTTAGAGCCAGAGTCTGACAAGTCTGATGGTTTTCATGAATATTTGCCATTAAAAATTCCTATTTCCCAATACAACTCATGTCAGTTTTTAAGGGAAAATTCCAAAATTCCAGGAGATGGGTAAAAAACAGAATAAATCCACTAAAATCCCAGCTCAGGCTGCACTGACGCCGGAATTTTGGGGGAATGATGAGTTGTAAGGCTGTGTGAGGGTCAGAGAATTCCCAAGTCCCTGTGGGAAAAGGAAAAAGTTGTGATTGTACAATATTTGGGATTTTAAGGCACTTACCTTCCCTCCTCTGAGGTTTTGCAGCTGGTTCCCTGGCTCCCAGCTCACTGCTGGCCAGACTCCCAGTGTTTGGGAGCTGCGTCCATAGAGACAGGCACGTGAGGTCACAGCAGGAGTTCTGCAGTGGATCCCATCCTCTGGGAAAGCCTGTGCTGGGATCCCAGCACCAGGGAGGCTCTGGCATCCAGGCAGATGGAATACTGGGAAGAAATCCTTCCCTGGGAGGGTGGTGAGGAACTGGCACAGGTTGCCCAGAGAAGCTGTGGCTGCCCCATCCCTGGAAGTGTTTGGACAGGGCTTGAACCAACCTAGGATAGTGGAAGGTGTCCATGACCGTGGCAGGGGTGTGGCACTAGATGGGCTTTAATGTCCCTTCCCACCCAAACCATGATTCCATGATTTCCTTTCTGGTCCTCTCAATAAGGAGTTCACACACCTTCAGTCTCTCCAGGCTTCCTTCTCACCATGCCTGAATCCTGCCTTTTTCCATCTATTCCTGGGAGAACCAGCCATAAAATCAGCTCTGTGGGAGGGGATCAAAGGTCTATCAGCCCTGGAAACCCGTCTCCCATAGGGACTAAGAGCAGGTGGTGTGGAAAACACACAAGAACAGGGTCAGCACTTCTGATTCTTCACCACTTCTCAGAGCCAATTTCAGCTCCAAGAGGCTCCGTAATCTCCAGCCCCAGGTGGGTTTTGATGCCTGTCCAGAGCCTGACAGCATTTTGCTGTCACCAACTCACCCAGAGTTTCCTTAAATCCCTATCAAATTGGAATATCTGCAGCAGCCAGAGGCAAGTTCTCCAGCTCAGCCTGACAGTCCATCACAGCCTCCTTCTCCTTTGGATCTGCTCCTTGTCCCTCGGCTTTGGATAAGAAAATCGATATCTATTGACTCTTTTCATGGAATCGTGGAATCACAGAATGGTTTGGGTGAGAAGTGACCTTAAAGCCCACCCAGTGCCACCCCCTGCTATGAGCAGGGACACCTCCCACTGGAGCAGGTTGTGTGGGAACAGGCACCGTGGGAAGAGTCCCCAGTGCTCCAGGACCCACCCAAGAAGCCCCCAGAACCAGCTGCCCCAGAAGAGCACGGACAGAAGGACCAGGGGCTCTCGCCCAGCAGCAGGAGCAGGAATGGGGAATGGGGGGGGGCTGAGTCCCATCCCAACCCCCTGGGGGCTGAGCCCTCATCTGTGTCCCCAGAGCCCTCCTGATGAGCCTTGCCTGGCACCCCCAGCACCAATAGCCACTGTCTGTGCTGCCCCCTCGGCTGGGACCACCTGGGGCAGCACTGGCACCAGACCACACACCGGCACCTGAGCCCCTCACTGTGCCCTAAACCTGCTCCAGCACCCCCACCCTTGTCTGCCACGATGGCTGTGGTGGTGTCACCAGTGCCACCATCACCGCTGCAGCTTCTGCTCAGTGACCCCCCTGTGATGGGGCTCCGGTTGGTA